GTGAGTTATATAAAGTGAATGAGCCGATTAAATGACAACAGGAGATTTCAATTTCATTACTTGAATGACTTTCGGTCAGTCTGTGGTGCGAGGTCGGTCACCTCCGTTCCGATATGTGGACCTTACATTCTGTCTATGTGAGAGACTAACTTATCTCTAGGATGGTTTTTATATACACCTGGTTCCAACATACTCATTCTCACACTTGCAATACCAGATGCAAGTTACGAACTTGTGCATTCGGTGACCGGGAGTAATTTCAAGTTAACCCTGCACCTGGATTTCTTTAACGGTCTTTTAATTTGAGAAGTGAATTTTGACAGCAGTATCTATTCCGTCAATGTTTCATATCTTTAGCAGTACGTTTGTACCGCACTGGGTGCCACATACTTGTGGTTTTGTGCCAGAACTAAGCTATAGATAGTAAATAACAGCAAAAATTCTTCCTTTCTTTAAACTAATTAATGATAGGAGGGTTTGAGAGGGATATTATAAGCCAGTGTGGAAAGCAAACATATCCCTACTTCCTTTGAAAAGCATAATTCCATAACAGGCGTTAAAACCTTTAATTGGAATAAAGCCTTAACCAACGGGCGTAGAGAATACCATTAAACTCAATCAAGTACCAAGAAGTCAAGCTGACAAATAGTGTCTTTTGTTAGCTTTTTTTCTGGTTTCTAACAACAGAGTGAAAAGCTGTGGCAAGGATGATGCATTTAAAATTGCATGCATATGGTCAAGGGTGATTTTATAAATTGTTTATCGCCATTCTCGATGTGCAACAACAGCCATTGTATTCAAAGTCGATATCTTTTCTCGCCCTCGCTTCTTACTTTTCCACTTATACGACAAGTAAATATCTCTTGAGATTTCCTTCAAGAAACGTATGAACATTATATACACACACGCACACGAGCGCGCACGTACGCACATTCACTCACTTAACACACTTTGGACCGAAAGTTTACACATTCATTTGTTACACACATTATTGTCTTTGTCATTTTTAAAACTTTCTTTGTTAATACCTTATTTGTTTGTACATATATATCGTTTCTTGTTGTTTTTCATTAGATATCTTTTGGTGAACTCATATTCCGAGTCCTCCATGTTTGTTGTGTGCAATTTCAGGAGACACACTTGCTTATTTCACTACGCGTTTACTAATCCACTACACAAAATTACTCACCATGAACTCATCACCAGCTGTCAAAAAGAGTGGTCGCCTTAAATACTGGACTTGAATTAACCTCATTGAAAACAATGTATCAATAATCAAACATAATCAGCACAATTTTTTTGTAAAAATTATTTTATTTGTTCATCAAAAAATCTAATGTATGCGATTAACTGTAAAGGATGTAACGAAGATTATATCGGGTAAACCAAACTCATTTACAGAAACCGAAGGAGCGTTCAACGCCAACAAATACGAGATCCTGCCACAAGACAGATACCATTCAGTGGGCATTTAGACTTATGTGCAAAAAATATGTCAGCGAAAATTCCAAGTTTTCATATATTATCTTTGCTCAGACAATGTCATAGACCAAACACGAATAAATAAATAAAATATATTTATTCAAATATACAAACCGTGTCTGTACAAACTTTAACAAAGCACATTTACCAAGTACTATCCACACACACGTACGCATGCACACGTAATATACTTGTCCATTTTACTAATGGGCTTATTATTATTATTATTATTATTATTATTATTATTATTATTACAATAACCTGGTACTCCCTCCAACACACACAAATAAAAATTCTTGTGCACCTGGTTACTCACTGAACCTTCACACATTTATATACACATAGACACTCGTGTACAATTCTTGTTGATTTTGCTATCATCATCATCATCATCATCATTACTATTATTGTTTTTACTTGTCGCGTTATCGCCGACATTCCGACATAGTAGTAAACGCTAAAACTATTCCTAACACACACACAAATTTCTTATACATTGAACTTTTTGGGGTTGCCACTAAAGTTCAATAAAATAGAATTCCTGACACTTGAATTATTAAAACTTTGTTCTCATTAGCCACGTTCAATGAACCATGACACTCCTAATTTTTGACAAGAAAATGTCATGATCCTCAATCTTTGGCGTAAACATTACTATGCCCGATCACGTGATTATAATCAACCAATCAGATTGAATTTTAAACAGGTAGTTTCTTTTGCATAAAACAGAATTGCTGATCTGCAGTTATATATCCCGGCATAGCCACACAGCTCTTCATCTCAATTTAACTTTTTAAAACCATGGAACTGTTAATCTGGTAAAGTTAATGAATATTCTTCAAGTCTTGCATTTTCTTGAGGTGAAATGATTAAAAAAAAAAAAAAAAAACAGTTAACGGCTTCAACGCAGACCTCAATTGGAACTCGTACATACGACCCATCGCTAAAGAAGCTGGAAAAATGGTCGGTACCACCCCAGTCAGTAGCTGACTTTTCCTGCATTCCTCTAGCTTTACAAGAGTCATGTCAGACCTAAAAGGGAGTACGGTTGCCATATATAGGCTGGAGTTTTCCAGTCTTCACTTTCTAATCTCTACAGTCCAAAAGCGTCTCTGCGTGTGATGAATTATTTTCAGCTCCACAGCAGCCTTCCCACAGATTAAACGTTTTTCTTCACCACTGCAATAGCGAAGTATTGAACTCACAACACTTTGGGGCAAGTCACTGAATCCAACCAACGCCTTTATTCATTGGGACATGCTATGCCTCTTTCGGATATCTCAGTTATCTCCTTTTAGCTCGAGTTAAGAGGAGATAACTGAGATATCCGAAAGAGGCATAGCACGTGGAACTAGAACAATCTACCACAGTGGACGAAATAAAGGGTTCAGTTCGAAATTCCAGTCATCTGAAGAAGGCCGGAGCGTACGACGCTCGAAACGTCGTGAATATGACAATAAAGACCAGAGCAGCATTCCGAACAATGTAAATACGGTAAATAATTAAAATACCGCATTTAGAAACATAGACAAATATTGAAGTGAATGAGATAGATAGATAGATAGATAGATAGATAGATAGATAGATAATGCAGTCTTACCTTAAGTGGGTGGCCTGTTTTTCCTTTATATTTCTTACCACAGCTGAACGGGATGGCGTACACACAGTCTTTAGTCACGTTATCCGGAAGAGGCATGGCACCTGAAATTAGAAAAATCTACCCCGATGGGCGAAATAAATGGTTCGGTTCGAAATTCCAATTACCTGAAGAAGGTCGGAGCGTACACCAGCCGAAACGTTGTAAATCGTTTGGCAATCAAGATGAGGACAACAGTCCAAACAATGTATATAATATAAATAATTACAATACCTCATCTCAGAAATAATCACAATATCTCATCTCAGAAAATAAGTTCAAGTGAATATTCTTGTAAAAAGAAATCATTTTGCACATTCACTTTGTGATACAAAAAACAAAAATGATTTAAATCAATGATTCTCACCAGTTGGGCATGGTAATATTTTGATGGGGCAAGCGTAGATTGTGCACTCTTTGGTTTACTTTATCAACGTAAGTTCAAATTTCATTTTGCATTATTATTTCATGATTAAAATGATCAAAGTATATTACAGAAGAAGCTTTCATTCAAATATTTTATATTTCTGCCTTTCAGTTCTTTATTATATGTTTTGAAACTATATATATATATATATATATTTTCTCTTTCATGGACGCCGTGGTCTTTGGAGGCTTGTTTAGAGACCAAGTTAATGGCCTTTTGAGCATTCCCTTTGTGATGCAAAAAACAAAAAAATGTTTTAAATGAAACTTGCTTTTTTCTTATGCATTGTTTCTTTCACACTTCTTTATTGTTATGTCAATTTAAGCGGGGAAAAAGCATATTTTACAAGGGTATGAATAAATTTGGTCTTTACTGTAGACATGAACGAAGGTTTACTGAAAAGTTCTTGGTTCATCTAAGAAGGGGATTACCCAATGCTAAATTTTGATATTTCTTCTTTGATTGAAGATGATGTAATCGTCCACGAATCTCTCATTTCAATCAGTTGTTAGGAAGCGATTTGAACCAAGAACTTTTCAACAGCCTCGTACGTAAATATTTCAATATGTCCGTAGCCTCATTCTGACAAAGCATTTATTTCATACAACAAATACTTTTTAAAACGTATTATCCTTTTTTTTAGCGTTCCAAATCACAGTTCGTCTCTCTCTATTTACAACAAAAACTGAACATTAAACCGTGAATATTTCAGATTAAAATTCTTCTAAAAACTGAGATAGGATACGGATTTATTGATGATACCTAATATCTATCTATCTATCTATCTCAGTTTGTTCCTATCTATCTATCTATCTATCTATCTATCTATCTATCTATCTCAGTTTGTTCCTATCTATCTATCTATCTATCTATCTATCTATCTATCTATCTATCTATCTCAGTTTGTTCCTATCTATCTATTTATCTATCTATCTATCTATCTCAGTTTGTTCCTATCTATCTATCTATCTATCTATCTATCTATCTATCTATCTATCTATCTATCTATCTAGGAATATATAAAAAATGAAAGTAATATCTTTAATCAGTTTCGCAATGTATCAATCTTCCGAATGACATAGAAATAAAAAAAAAGACAAAAATCTTTCTCCGTCATATTTTCAATCCTTTTTTTATGTATAAAATGTTGGACTAAATGAGATAAAATCATTGTGAAGCCTTAGAAAAATCTTTGAAATTCTGATGTGAAACCCTTAAACGACCCCAATTAAATTCTGCTGATTAATTTGAATGAAATCCTGCCAGCTATCTTCTATCGAATTTACATCAAAATTGGTTGAGTGGTTTTCAAATTTGAACGTGACATACATACTCAGAAAGAGAATGCGGCTAATTGAGATGGACATGGGGCGTCGAGAAATGGGAAGGAGAAAAATGGTTTGCTTTTTTTATATTAAAAAAAAATAATACCGAAACAAAATGAAAACCTATTAGATGAATGTGAAATGTCGCTCGGTGTTTCCATCGGCTTCTGGCTTGATGACATCATCCAATGAATTCTCATACCTGCTCATCCATAGCAGAGACGATGGTCTGAATTTTTTATCCATGAAAAGAATAGGTATTCATATTTTCACTCGATCTAAAACAGTTGCTTTGATTTAACCAATTCTTGCGAGATTCTCAGTACTTTGTCGAAAACCTATTTTTCATAATACTGTCTTTTCTCTGCTGACTGCAGTGATCGAACAAGTGTAAACTAAGAAATAATACCAAAACCCCGAATTGTATCCAATTAAATGAGTGTTTGTAGGATATAGAAACACTTATTCTGCTACGCATTTCGGTTCCTTCTAGTAGGCGTCTTCAGGCCGAAATGAGACACACTTTCAAACTCGTGTCTGATGAAAGTATCTTAGAATATATTCACTGTAACACATCGGATCACAATTTCAACCTAAAAAATACCAGTTTGATTAAAACAGAAAATAACTCACTAAGAAGAAAATATATGTAAAAAATATATTGAAAAAGGACTGATGTATGGTCAACTTTAGGTCAGGCTCATATATATAATATCACCGATTATTGTCAAAACATTAGTAGCACAAGGCGGTATGCGAACTGATAGAGCAAAATAGAGACTTTCTCGAACTGGGTTAATCCAGCGGGCGAAAAGGTTTAAACCAAAAAAGGAGGAGGAGGAGGAGGAAGAGGAGGAGAACAACAACAAAAACTACTATGACTGATACTACTACTACTACTACTACTACTAATAGTTTTTTATCTGTTGGTGTATTTGATAAAGATATTTATTACCTATATTCCAAAACACTTTCCTTATATACAGTTTTGCCATTCATTCCGGCTTGAAGGCGCCTACTACAAAGAGGAGACACGCGTGGTCTGAATAGTTTTACTAACCCAATATTTTTATTTTATTAATGCGATTCCGGTCGGAGGTATATTTTGGTTCTCCACGATTCCTTTTACTTTAATATGCGAAATTTGCTACGAGATCTTGGGAAGGATAATGAACCTGTTGGTTTCTCCATGGTTTTGAATTAAATCTAATCCTTCTCCATGAATGGTTGCCATCCACGGATATATATAAATAAATAAATATATATATATATATACGTATATATATATATATATATATATATATATATATATATATATATATATTGCACGGATATATATATATATATATATATATATATGAATTGCACGGATATATATATATATATATATATATATATATATATATATATATATATATATATATATATATATATATATATATATATATATATATATATATATATATATATATATATATATATATATATATATATATATATATATGCAGATATATATATATATATATATATATATATATATATATATATATATATATATATATATATATATATATATATATATATATATATATATGAATATATATATTTATAATATATAGAATATATATTTAAATATAAGAATATATAATATACGAATATATATATATATATATATATATATATATATAAATATATGAATATATATATATAAATTGCACAAATATATATATAAATAAATATATGAATATATATATATGAATATATATATATATATATATATAAATATATGAATATATATATATAAAAATATATGAATATATATAAATATATGAATATATATATATATATATATATATATATATATATATATATATATATATATATATATATATATTCGTGCAATTTATTTATGTCAAAAGATTTTCACGTTGTTGGATTAGTTCCCGTATATTGTTGTAGGAGAAAAAGAACTGACCGCACTTTGTGTTTGTGCTGCGCTTCCAAATTTTCGATTGACTTAAGAAAGAGAAAAATTTTGATTAAATTCAAAGACTGTGTGGTAGTCTGCATCTTTGGAATGACCTTATGTTTTGAGTTTTGAATGTTTGTCTTGTCACGTTAGTGCAATATTAAAAATATAAGGAAAACAGCTTGACTGTTTTCTTTAACAACATTTTTCCAGTGAACATTTACAGCCAAGCGCACTACCACTTAATATTTTACCACTTAATATTTGGTATTTTATATTCAGAAACATATCAGGATTGCGTCGTGCATGGTAAATTGTATATATATATATATATATATATATATATATATATATATATATATATATATATATATATATATATATATATATATCTCAAGGCACGGCATCAGTACTTTAATCTGACTCTTGTAAAGATAGAGCATTTCAGGAGGAGTCAGGTTTTCTTTCAGGATCTGTATAAGGAACCCAGACATTTATATATAATTATGGATAGATGTTAACAGATTTATTGTGCGTTGATGCGTGTGTATGTCATAATTATGACCAAAATATAAGTTAGACTATAAAAATCAAACCAAAAATCGGACAAAAAACATAGCTATAACTGTTATATAACGATAAAAAATACTACGTTACTTATAAATCGAAAACCGAAAAGAGTAAATAAAAATATACATTATAAAAAAATAAATAATAAAAAAACAAGTAAAATAAATAAATCTAAATTAATCCAAATAAATAAATAAACTAACAAACCGATCCAGATAAGTTAACCGTTAGAAAAAACAAAGATAATCAATCAAATAAATAAATGGAGTAATAAACAAATTAAAAACTGCTCCCGCCAAAATAATAGTTAGAATAAACTATAACAGGTAACCCCAAAATTGAAAAAAATAGCTTTATCTTCCCAAACCAAAACAAAACTATTAAATAAGCGACATAAACAAATTTTTACTACGTTAATAAAAGCACTGTTTAATATATATATATATATATATATATATATATATATATATATATAAGATAAGAAATAAAAAAAATAAATAAATAATGGCAAGCAAAATATTTTAACCCAAATAAATAAATAAACAAATAAACGACTTCGATCAAAATAACCGCCAAAATAGACTACCCACAACGCATCACTGATCCATATATATAAATAGCTGGGAGAGAAAAAAAAAACATCACTCGTGGACTGACGATTGCGTCTAGGATGAAACAGACTGTCGCCTCTAAGTGTTGACTTCTATGTTCACTTTTATATTTACACACTCTCTATCTCTGATATTGTGCACTTTATCCCATGGATATAGCACACCTTAAGACTATATATATATATATATATATATATATATATAATTATGCCCGTACTTCTTCCGTGCCTGACCTGGAGCTACTCAATCTTCATTTTCCAGCCTTGACAAAATCCCAAATCATTTTCGCGTTCTTGTGACAAAAAAAAAGGACTTTTCTCTATTCGGCAGCCTTTTCCCTTTTCAGCATAACGACGCATGCTTATCGCTATTCACATGGCAAAGGTTCAGATGTGCACTCCATTCTTTACTTCCGCTAATCAAGACAATTAGCGCCAGTTGACGCCATCCTACTCCTACAGAATCGAATCACATTTATGCCATCCATATTCCAAGAAAATAATTCTTTTCAGGGAGTTTTTGCCCAGCTTTTGTAGAACAGGCTCCTACGTGGGTGCTTTACTGAATGCTACCGAACATTTCAAGTTAGGTGTCAGTCGTTGTCATTCGCTTTTTCATCATCTTCATTTTCTGCCACTTCCTGTTACATTCATGACGCACATTTCATTCAGTATTCTTCTATCATGAGTGGCTCTTAAGCCTTGTATTGAGAGAAACCTGTTTATCGCAATTCAGGAGTCCGTATTTTGAAGAGAATGTCCAACAACAATCTCAAATGCCTTTCACATATTGAACAGGATTAGGTTGGCTTGTTTTGGCAAAGCCATCGATTTTTATTTCCGAAAATATCCAATACCAGAAGACCTTTTTCTTTTCCTTTGTCATTTTTTTTTTTTCTTTTTCTTTTCTTTATCTCTATCTACTTCTTCTTTTTCGATTTCTTCTTTCTACTCTTTTTTCTTTTTTATCCTCCTTTTTTCTTTTTCGTTTTCTTTATCGTCGTCTTTTTCTTTTTCTCCTTTTGGTTTTTCTTCTTTTTCTTCTTCTTTGTGTTCTTTATCTTCATTTCTTTTTTCTCCTTTTTCTTCTCCTTTTTTTCTTCTTTTTCTCCTTCTGTTTCTTTTTCTATTTCGTTTTCTTTTTCGTCGTGTTTTTTCTTTTTCTTCTTTTTCGTTTTCTTCTTCTTTGTCTATTTCTTTTTTCTTCTTTTCCTTCTTTTTCTCCTTTTTCTTCTTCTTTTTCCTTCTTCTTTTTCTCCTTTTTTCTTCTTCTTTTCTTTTCCTTCTTCCTTTTCTCCTTTTTCTTCTTTTCTTTTGCTTCTTTTTTCTTTTTCTTTTTCTCCGTCTTTTTCTTTTGCTTCTTTTTTATGTTTTTCTCCTTTTCTTTTTCTTCTTCTTTTTTTTCTTCTGTGTTTTCTTCTTTTTCTGCATTTCTTCTTCTTCTTCTTCTTCTTCTTCTTCTTCTGCTGCGGTTTCTTCTTCTTCTTCTTCTTCTTCTTCTTCTTCTTCTTCTTCTTCTTCTCTGTTTTTACAAAGCAGTTCAACGAAATATTCTTACGCGAACCACAAAAACGAAAGAACAAAAGTAAATTGCGCTTATCGAAATATGCACTGTTCTATTTAAAATTTCATATTTATGAATTTTTCTATTTCATTATTATTATTATTATTATTATTATTATTATTAATACTTACCTACTTACCTGGATTAATATCCTCCTCTCTTAGTATCATTCAGTGGTTGAATGTTTTTGGGTTAGTGTGTTATGGAGAACAACTTGAAATTTACTTTCTTTTATTACATTCTTTACTCTCTCTCTCCTCCCAACTCTCTCTCTCTCTCTCTTTCTCTTCAGCAAAGAAACTTATTTTCCTTTCTTAAATCTACCGATATTTGATTATTCTATTTTCCAAAAATGGCTACTTGAAACACTTTTCAATGTTTGTTTGTTTTTATTTAGTAATAAGCCGCTTTACACACACCCAGCCATATGTACGCGTTGTCTCGCTCGCTCGCTCGTGCCGAGATGAATTTATAAACTTTCTTTAGTTCTGTTTTGTTTTAGACGATTAAAATCCACATCTACACTTCTCCATTCCTATTACATGCCAGATCGAAGCAGTGTACTTTTAGAATAAAAGTATACCTATATATACGATACCTTGAAAGAGAGCGCATTGGTTAAAATACTCGACTGGGATTTGGTACGAATCTTATAATAGGACAAGCTCAATTTCTCTGTGACGTTTTGATTCGGACATCTTATTGTTACATTTATCACAATATTCTATGTTGATACGCCATTTATCATCATTAAGGGTGTTCCAATAACTTGGACCGATTTTAAATGTGAATTAATTTTAAGCTTCAAAAATGGACATTCAAATAGAATTTGAACAAGAAGTCTCATCATCTCTCGAAACAGCGAAGTCATTTGGCCACCAGGATCGCGCGACTTGACGCCTTTAGATTTCTTCCTTTGGGGTCATCTCAAAAGTAAGGTATATGCCAACAGATAAAGGATAAGATAATAAGGTATATTGGTGAGATCGGGGAGCAACTATGCCGAGACGTTACCAAAAATGTTGACCATCGATTGGAGGAGATTTGGGTGATATTATTTTTCACACATAATTGCCATGACTTAAATAGCATGATCCAATAGAAAAATAAATAAATTTTCACCAGTAACACTGATTTATTTACTGCTGACTTTAATCCGTCCTGATGAAACACCTTTTAAGCTCCTTGGGACTTCCATAACTATAAAATACCAGTGGAAATTCAACTAATGTATCGTTGAATATTTTAGCTTAACAATTTAAAAAAATGTTTTTATTTTATTTTATGTCTTTTTGTTGTCATTTCTCTCTTTGTGTTTTGACAACTATCTAAGGTTTATTTCATTAACGAAAGATAATTATCAATGAAACTTGAATAATGTTGAAGAATATATATAAGATGCATAGAATTATAAAAGAAGAAAATGATATAATCCATTTTAGAATTACAAACCATTTCTTTCTTTCTTTCTTTCTTTCTTTCTTTCTTTCTTTTCTTTCTTTCTTTCTTTTCTTTCTTTCTTTCTTTCTTTCTTTCTTTCTTTCCTCTCCCTTTGGTCCCACTGTATTCTTTCTTTCTTATTTTCAGCAGGCGATAAGTGTCTGAGAACGTTAACGTCTCTTCTTTCTTTCTTTCTTTCTTTCTTTCTTTCTTTCTTTCTTTCTTATGGATGCTGTCTTGTTTTTTTCATTAAATTAAACAGACGATCTGTTTTTTTCTTCCATCTTTTCTCAAATTCAAAACGGAATTATCTATTATTTATCTGAGGTAGTGGCAGGGTGTTAGAATGGAATTTTTAAAATTTAATTTAATGAAGATTGTATTTTATTATCATTTTATTAACGAAAAATGTCATCAATTTTTTTTTGTTTCAAAATAAATCTCCAAGTTATCAAAATAAGCGATCTTTCTTTCTTTCTTTCTTTCTTTCTTTCTTTCTTTCTTTCTTTCTTTCTTTCTTTTTCTTTCTTTCTTTCTTGTCATTATTATGTATGCTTTCTTTTTCTCATTAAAATCGAACACCGTCTGAGATAACTTTTTCTTCCGTCTTTTCTCGCATTCAAAGCCGAATATTCCTTTACTTATCCCAGCTAATGACAGGACGTAACGAACGCGGTGATTAACGGAGAAACCAGCAGAATTATAATATGACTAGGTTTAGTCCATTTTCTTCTTCTTGTTTCTTTTTTTTTTATAAGAGCACTCAGTCAATATACTAATCATCACTATCATTATAATCATCCTTCTTCTTCTTCTTCTTCTTCTTCTTCTTCTTCTTCTTCTTCTTCTTCTTCTTCTGTGTTTTTAATGTCCTGTTTTGTTCATTCATAAAGGAGAATATATCACTTATTTTAATAGAAAAAAAAACCTGATTTTGTAAAAAATTATTTCATTGTGTCTAAAAGCTATACACACTGAATAGAACGTTAGAGATCAATAAATCATATTGATCTGATCGATAATAGTTAATCTGCGGATTTCGTCGCTGTTGGCATTCGATTGTATTTGAAACTTAGACGTTTCCATTAATTCCACTTCGGAGAGACTGAATAATCTTTTCTGGAAAATTTCTAAAACGAATAGACATATTATTATTATTATTATTATTATTATTATTATTATTATTGAGTATTTTTTTCTTAATGTCTTGCTTTATTCATTCATGGGACTTTGTCTATCCTTTGTACTTGGGACTATCATGGCGGTGTGATGAATTTATTTAAGGGATAGAATCCTCCTGAATATGTGATCAATGCCGAGTAGGACGATCTTCTCGTCATCTTGTATCTTTATGTTGCTAGGGATTTGGTTCGTGTATCTTGACCAAATCGGGTGCTCCCAATATTACTGGTATTGCTTTGGGTTTCCATTCCATCAATTTTTCTTTCTATATTTAGTTAATTTTCCTGTCGTTTTCATGGAGGTGTTTCTTTCAATAGGGAAGGATATGGCAATGAGCAGACACGTTCTAATTTTAGTACCAGTTTTACTTTATCTTATCATTGCTATTTTATCCAATCACATTGACCAGATACACTCCTCATTATTACTATTATTTTACAGCTAGGATTATTCAATCTTATTTTTGCTTTTTATCTCAATAGGGAATCGATATAATTTTCATTATTATTTTTTTTACTATTTTTACTTCATTTTCCTATTTTTGTAACTAAAATTAAAAGTCTATTCAGATTTGAACTCATATTCAACAGGTGGAGAGGGTTAATGGACGTTGATTCACCGATTCGGCCACTGAACCTGGTGAATAAACAATGCTCAAATCTATAATCCTTTTTTTCACTGTTTCCTTTCTTATTGTATACGCCATTTTCGGATTTTACTCTCGAGTGCAATTTCGGGTTTCGTGGCAAGAAGAGTTCTAGCAACGTCCACATATGTTGCGTTCCATTTCGTACAAATGTCCTTGGAAAAAGAATGAACCCATCTCTCCCCATAACTATGGGTTAAATTGTAGCTTAGACTGGACCCTCTAACCAAGGATGGCAACTAGTCTAGGAGAAGTACGACTCTGAATTCAAAACCGTGGAGAAGGGTATAGGAAACCACTCCGCTATCTTTTACAAAAAGTTAAGTCAATTCAACGATGATAAAGAACAAGTATCCGCCGAGAGTTATGGGCGCCCACGGCCCTAAGGGAAAACGACATTAAAAGTCTAGAATTAAGTTCATTTTTTGGATAGTCTTATTTTTTGCGCTTTTTATTTAAATTGTGATGAAAGAATAACATTACTAAATAGTCAAAATAAACGTTTAAACATATGGCAGATTTGTGTTTCATGACCGGAATGATTACAGCAACGTCCATGAAAGGCTTATTCCCACTTCAGCCTTGACATTATTTAATTTTGATGTGCCTGAGTGGAATTGGCGATTCGAGTTCAAATTTCGACCGAGTCTGTTGCGTACACTGACGACCCTTGAAAGACATGAATTAATTTCTTTTCCCACCATCCAACTATTAGATAAATATCACAAAATAGACAGAGTTCTTTAGTCTTGGCTGGCAGACCTCCTAAATAAAAGATTACCGTATATACGTGGGTATAGGCAGACTTTTTTATGATCACTACTTTACACAAAAATAGGGGGTCGCATTATATACAGGAAATTTTGTTAAAGAAGTTAAGAAACATGCATTTTCAGTGACCGGTTACACTATACACAGGTAAACTTAGGGCACCGCGAGGCGGTGTAATGGTTAGCAAGCTTGTCTCGCTAAAACAATTACGACTGAGTAGTGAATTCGATCCTCACTGGGTGCCCCTACTTTCGGCCTTGTGCCACATTTAAGCTAGGCTTGAAAAATCACTATAACAGGCCACTTCGTAGTGGTGTAATGGTTAGCAGGCTTGTCTCGCTAGAACAATTACAACTGAGTAGTGAGTTCGATCCTCACTGGGTGCCCCATACTTTCGGCCTTCTGCCACATCTGAGCAACGCTTGGAAAATCACTACACAGGTAAACATTGTCTAGAGGGGTTAAAATTCATACATTTTCTGAGACAGTAACGTACCTGGCAGGCCTACATTCTGATAAACTTGTTGCCATTGGAAAGGCAATACCTCAGCGATATAAACACTTCCGAAAAGAAAATGAATGCAAATTTAAGATAGGAAAATCTATGAATTCTTCATTTATATAAAGCATTTGTTCATTTTAAGTGGCATACATAACGGATGGGCTTTTGTTCTTCATGAAGCGAGAAAAAGGGAAGAAACCCAATCTACTTAAGAGGTAGGCCCAGGGTAAAGGAGCTACCGTAGTGAGGCATGAATAAAAACAAAAGTGTGGTATCTAAATTTTTGTATCAGATATTTTGCTGTAAATGGTTTTTCTCAACATTTTTCGCTTTGCAAAAAAAAAAAAAAAAAAAAAAGAAAGAAAAATGAATGAAAACCAGTTATTTTTGTGTAAAATATATCCAAGATGATTTCCAGTATTGCAATGAAGCTATATGAAAAACTTTGTAAGGTACAAATAATTGTATTATAATATGAAGGACCTCGTTCATATTATAAATATAATATCAAATAATAAAAATATCAGTATTTTTTCGATTCAGATTGAATTGAATTCTATTATACAGACATGACAAAATTGAAGATAAATTTTATTTCTGATTTTTTTTAATAACCAAGATAAATTAACTTAGATTATTTGCTTAAAATTGCAGATAACAATACTGGAACATGCCACGAACCAAAGGAGCATCAGACCTATCCGAATTTCAGCGAGGATGTATCATGGGCCAACATGAAGGTGGTCTTAGTCAAAGAAAAATATCTGAAAATCTTTCAATACCCCTTTCTACTGTTAATAGAGTGATCGTACAATTCACCAGGGAGGGCAAAAAGTGCACAAAACCTCATCCAGGCCGCCCTGGGCCTTCTGAAAGAACCATGCATCTTGTCAAAAGAAATGTTGAACAGGATCCACGTTGCAAGGCCTCTGACATAGTTGATGTCAGTCCCAGAACAGCTGTCAGGTATCTTCACAAGCTGGGTTACTATGGCAGAGCTGCAAGAAGGAAACCATTTCTCGGTCCAGCCAATGTCAAACGCAGAAAGGATTGCGCTCATGAGATGGTGGAGAGACCTGTGACCTTTTGGACAACTGTCATTTTCTCTGATGAGTCAAGATTCGCATTATTTTCCGGCAGTGGAAGAGTATGGGTATGGAAACTCTGTAGTCTAGAGTTTGATTTAAAAAGACTGCAGCCAACAGTGAAACATGGAGGCCTTTCAGTAATGGCATGGCGTGCAATTTGGAGTGATGGTTGCTCAGAGCTTGTGAAGTGTGAAGGAAACATTAATTCAACCAAATATGTTTCTATATTAAACAAAGGGCTCCTTCCAATATTCTCAAGTAGTAGAATGAGCAAAGTTGACTCCCTATTTATGGAAGATGGAGCTCCATGTCACACTGCTCAAGCAACACAATATTGGTTGAGACAAAATGGGATCAATAAACTTCCGTGGCCAAGTCAGTCCCCGGATATTAACCCAATTGAACACCTTTGGGGCATATTAGATCGAAAACTCCGCAAAAAGAACAGGAAGTCAACTTCTAAGCCCGAACTTTTAGGATTATTGCGTCAAACATGGCAAGAAATCCCTCAAGATGATATTCGTGAACTCATCGCTAGCATGCCTAGAAAGGTCCTTGCATTAAAAAAAGCAAAAGGGATGTCAACCAAGTATTAGTTATTAAATTTATGACCATTTATAATTACTTCATTTGTATAAATTACTTGTTTAATAAAATAAACAGTTTCTGTGAGTGTCTATTCAATTCTGTCATGTCTGTGTACTTTGGTTGGCAATCAGTCTAGAAGAAGGAAAACTCTAAATTCTAAACCGATTGGTCATGGGGTGAGCAACTCTGCCCCATAATAACCTACTTGTTACAGAAACTACATCATCGGTATCTAGCGTGGTGAGGCTGTGGCCTTAGTTTGGTGAGGCTGTGACCTTAGTATCGTGAGGCTGTAGTTCCACAGAGAAGTTTACATGACCTACAACAACAGTACCAACATCTACATTTGTAAATTAGCATTCCTTAGACACCCCCGACAAAGAAATAAAAGATTTTTATTATTTTAGAAGGAAATTCCTGTTCATAATATAAATACAGTGTCTAATCGATCCTCACTTCATAAAGAATTATCTGTACTCTATTTTTATTTACAAATATCAAAAGTGAATCTGTGCTTACGACATTGATAACTTCTCTTTCTTCTTTTATGTGCTGTTTTCAATCAGGCCGTAGGTAATCATGGCCCTCGACATCTTCCTCTCTTTAGTAGCTCTTAATAAGTTTTGTCTTTCTGTTATGTCTCCCAAACACTGTCATATGTTACGCGCTTCTTTTCTCTGTACCTCTTTTTCTGAATCTGTCCTATGAGTATCGAATTTTCCAAGCTTCCTTCCTCATTACGAGCCCCAGACACATCAACTTCCTGATGTTAAGTATAAGTTTCCTTTTTGTTGAAGCTTGGATAAACATGGAATAATAATAATACAACACAAAATGTACGTAGACAAAATGTATTGAAACAAGGAAAAGGTACACAATATTTACAGTTAGTTTTGGTATATTCTTGGGAAGACTGTTCCTGTAGAATGGGTTGACTTAATCGCAGTCGGGCAGAGTCTCTGGATTAGATCTCTTGTTACTTCCCCGTCTTCCCGGTACCAACCCATATTTATATGGTCGGTACTCCACTATGTAAATTAGGTGGATCGTACCACAACACTTTTTGTTTCAATTTTCTCCAAAACTTTGTTGCTCACATGTTCGGCCCATGGTATCCTCAGCAACTTTCTGAAGAACCACATTTCTGTTGCTTCAAGTCTCTTCATCTTTGAGGAGATTGCCTTACAGGAGGACAGATATCATGTAACAGTCCAGTACTCTTTTCTTTGTTTCTAATGAAATTATTTTGTCTCTTAATACTCTGCTTAGCTTTAGGAATGCATCTTTGGCCATACCAATACGTCTTCGGATCTCAGTGTTGCACTTTTGGCGAAAACACATTCGTGAATTAATTCATGAGAGCAATTTATTCACTCTCTCATAAGAAAATATCTTAAAATAATTGTCGGGCTTTGTCCTTTCGTAGTGTGTGACGTCATTTGTTTTCGTTAAGATACGCTTCGAGCAGATATAAACGTTCGAGGGAAATCATGCAAAATTGTAGTTTAAAAGCAGTAAAATCGACCTTGCTAATCAGACGCTCCTCTGTAGCTAAACTGTTATAGCACGTCAGGCTATATGACGGTTCCGTGTAGTATAAGGTTCAATTCCTGTCGGAGGACATATCTTCTATGAAAATTTCTGGCATAATCAGGCCGGTAAATGTTGTTAATACTGTTTATTATAAACAGAGCATTTACGTAAATATTTGTATCTATAAATAGAACGAATATATACTGAATATAGAAATAAAGAAAAAGCACCTTGTCAGCTCTGTTCAATGAAATAAAGCGATATTACTACCCAAATACACATAACACACACACACACACACATATATATATATATATATATAGATATATAGATAGATATATAGATATAGAAAATTAGATATATAGAGAGAACGGAGAGAATGAAGGAGAGAGAGAGAGAGGAAGAAGAGAGAGAGGGGGATGGGGGAATAGGTAGAGGTAGAGAGAAGGAAAATACGGAGGAAGACGACGATTAGATTTACGAAATGTGCGCATCTGACGTGCGAGTGATTCCCTGAAAGCTCCAATAAAATAGGTCAGTCTGAGACTCGGAAGTTTTCAAATGTGTCGAAAACTGGGATAGGGAGATGGGTTGACTGTAGCATTCTTACTACACAAATGGGCCTACGTGAGCTTCTAGACGTGATAGTAAACAAGCAGCCCACACGAAATTTTATGGTGACCTTCTGTCCTTCTCTCTTCCCTTTCTCTATTTAAAAAAAAAAAAAAAAAGAAACCCGTTGATTTTTAAAATTTAGTTTGCATCATCAGCAATAATCTTCGTCTTGTCTTTAATATTCTTGTTTCTAAGCTTTACCTTTTTCTTTCATTCTCTTCTGGACTTCTCTTTCTTTTCCATTAATTTCTAATCATTCAATTTCTTTCTTCTTCTTCTTCTTCCTCCTCTTCTTCCTCCTCCTCCTCCTTTTCGCCCCTCTGTCTTTTTTTCTCGGTTATATGTCACCATATTCCAAATTCTCCTTTCCCTCTCTCTTTTCCATTAATTCCTAATCATTCAACATCTCTCTTCTTCTTCCTCCTCCCCTTCTCTTCTTCCTCCTAAACTACTTCTTTTCTTTTCCTCCTCCGCCTTTTCTTCTTCCACCTACTTTACTACGTCTCTTTCTCTTCTTTTTTTCTCCTCCTCTTCTTCTCCTTCCTACTCCTCCTCTTCCTTCTGCCTTTTTTCTAGTTATATCATCACCATATTCCAAGTACTCCTTCTCTTTCTTTTCCGTTAATTCCTCTCTTCTTCCTCCTCCTCTTCTTCTTCCTACGCTTCTTCTTCTTCTTCTGTTTTTTCCTCTTCCTCTTCTCTTTCCTCCTCTATCTCCTCCTCTTTCCTCTTTTCTTTCCTCTTGTATCTCCTCCTCTTTTCACTCGTCTGCCTTTTTTCTCGGTTATATCGTCATCATATTTTAAGTTTTCCTTCTCTCTCTTTTCCATTCACTTTTCTTCTTCTTCTTCTTCTTCTTCTTCTTCTTCTTCTTATTACTTTCTCACGCTCTCTTCCTTCTGAATATTCTTATCAATTTATCCAAAATCATCTTTTTCCCCTATTTCTTATTCAAGCATTCAACAATTAAAGGGTGGGAAATAAAGAAACAAAATGGAGGAGAAAAATATGTCAGCAAAATTTAGATAAAAAGAATATTCGATTGGAAAAAGAAGAAAAATACTTCCGTCGGTTCAGGGACAAAACGGAAAGCAAAACAGATACAAAAATTTAGAGAAAAGATAAAATGATAATTATGTGAGTTGGGCCGCTATAAAACACTGACGGTATCGTTCATGAAACTTGACAGTATTACAGGATGTTGGCATTACTGGCAACGACTGTCCAATAGATTTGCCGCATGTTCGGAACCCCAAAACCAGGCCTGATATTCTAGTCTGCCATCTTCTTTTATGTGCCATGTCCCTTCAGGGCGTACGCGATCATGGCCCTCCACATCATCCTGCCCCTTGTAGCGCTTAATAAAGTTTTGTCTTTTTGTTATTTCTCCCAAATCTTGTTCCGCCATCCACTTGCTCAATCAAGCCCATTAAGTATGTCACACGTTGCTTTCCCCTGTCCCTCTTTCTCTCTATACGTCCTGTGAGTATCAGATTTTCCAAGCCACCCCCCTTTTTCATTACGTGTCCCAGAAATTTCAACTGTCTCTTCCTGATGTTAAGTTTAAGTTTCCTCTTTGATTGCATTCTCTCCAAAACCTCGTCGTTTCTCAATATGTTCCGTCCATAGCATCCTTCTGTAGAACCACACTTCTTTTAGTTTGAGTCCCTTCTTCATCTTTGAGGAGATTGTCTAACATTCGCTGCCATACATGCGGACAGATATCACATAACAGTTCAGTACTCTTTTGTTTGTTTACATATATCTTATATTGTTAAGATTGCGGCCGCCAATGTTGAACCCTGGTAAGATTTCCAGTTCTCTCAGAATTGCATCGCTGTATAGGTTGAATAAGTCCGGTGAGAAGACGCATCCTTGCCTTACACCGCTTTCTATTTTTGTATATCTGCTGAACTATAGTTTTGCTATATGGCAAATCCGGAATGGTAGGGCGACTGGTATTCTTGGGATGGTGTGTTTTCAATATTCGAGATAATATTCACGTGAGTCTTACACGTTAAGGCTCAAGAGCCACTCCTGGTAGAGGTAAGAGGCATAGTTTTATATGTATATGTTGGAGAGATAACGGTTAACCCTACACCTGAAGAGGTTAATATTGTAATGATCGCGGATGCATCCTCTTAGGAGTTGGTTCCACAAAGAAAGGTTTCGTGGGAAGAAATTGCCAATGAAATACAAAGGAAATGGGGGTATATTTGGAAAATCGAAAACATATGAACAATAATATATAGATTAAATACAGTTGTACAAAATATATATGGAATAATGAAACCTATAGGCTTAGTGGCTTTATCATCTTGCATGTAGTGAAAAGATTAAACAAATTATTGCCTCACTAAAGTCTTCTCATTCTCTTTTACTCCCAGTAAGACTTTGCGTCTTAGTGACATTATCGCCTTCCTCGGGATAAAATGATTAAAACATATGATATAAATAAAAACAAAAAAACAACAACAAAAAACAATGAAACTGAAATGCTACCTACCTTATTGTATAAGTTATCTCCAGTCATATAAACATGGGAATATAATTTAGAAGTTTCGTTTTCTGACTATGAAACGTATATATAAATATTTATTTAGTGTATTGAGCACTTCTACGTTTTTTTTTTTTTTTTTTTTTTAATTTACTCGATTTTTTTCTTTTGGTTACGTAGTTTTCAACCAACAGGGATATTTATACTTTTTTTACTAAATTTTTCCCTTGATACCAGTTTCTTTAAATATATTTTTATTTGCAAATTGTACTTTTTTCCTAGTCGGGTAGAGGTCTTCAAATAATATATAATGTATAATGGACTCTCCCGACGCATGAGGATCAAGCAGCTTCTAGGTGCCGATAGGAGCACATCAGATATGATTATAGTGGTGAAGGTTTTGTGCAGAACCATTCACACTTTTTGAAGGGCCGAATATAGAGCCCTAGTGCACTGTGTGCCACAAGGTCCCCAATCAACTCTCCCCAAGGTTTTAAATTCAGAGTTGTCATTCTCCTAGTCTGTCTAGGACAGACCGTGTTCTGTAGCCTTGGATGGCCACTAGTCTACCGCAGAAAGAAATGACAACCTACTGCGGGAAAGAATCTGCCTCATCAGTCATGTATCGAAAGATACATAATCTACGCGTGTATCACGCATGGCACATAACTGACTGATATCTCTGGGATGAGATTACTTACATTATCTGCATTATTCGAACTGTTATCTTCATCTTCAATGCCGCATTCAGTCACTGGATCTAACCAGCGTATTTATCCACTGAACCATGTGTCCTTGAGTGGATAAAGACGTTGGTTAGATCCAGTCACTAGATCTAAAGAGTTGTGAGTTCAATACCAGGTCACAGCAATGGTGAACCAAAACTTGGGGAGTTAAGTTAAATGGAAATAACTGAAACATCCAGAAAAGGCATGGTATCTGGATCTAGAATAATCTAACCCGGTAGACGAAATAAAGAGTCCGGTTCGAAATTCCAATCACTTGAGGAAGGCCGGAGCGTATAACGGGCGAAACGTTGTAAATATGGCAATGAAGATGAGAATAACAGTCCGAATAATGTAAATAATATAAGCAGGATTTTATTTTATTTTAAATTCCAAAAGACGTTGGTGTATATCAAACCATATTTAAACTGATGGGTATCTGTCAACAAAACATTATTCTCTTTATTAAAAATTCTTTTATGACTAGGATAAACGTTTCTAAAATGTCAGTTGATACAAATTAGCTGATTTAAGTTTAATTAGTCTGAATTGAAACAAACATTACTTTTTGTTTAAAATATCGCCGAAACATTTATTTATAATTTTCAGTAACACTCAGCCGAGCTGTCACACTCGTTTATAGACATATACACAAAGTTAGATAGATAGATAGATAGATAGATAGATAGATAGATAGATAGATAGATAGATAGATAGATGACTAATAGATATGAACAGACTAAGATAGATAGATAGATGACTAATAGATATGAACAGACTAAGATAGATAAATAGATAGATGGATAGATATGAACAGACTGAGATAGATAGATAGATAGATAGATAGATAGATAGATAGATAGGAATATACTAAGGTAGGTAGATATGAACAAACCTGTATATATATATATATATATATATATAGAGAGAGAGAGAGAGAGATAGATAGATAGATAGATCGATAGATATGAGCATACTCAGATAGATAGATAGATAGATAGATAGATAGATAGATAGATAGATAGATATGAGCATACTCAGATAGATAGATAGATAGATAGATAGATAGATAGATAGATATGAGCATACTGAGATAGATAGTTAGATAGGTAGATAGAGAGATATGAACAGACTGAGATAAATAAACAGATCAATAATAGATAGATAGGAAAAGACTGTGATAGATAGATAGATAGATAGATAGATAGATAGATAGATAGATAGATGTGTGAAAATATAATGCATTGAATAGATTCACTATTATTTTGACAAAGTATTTGTGGCATTACTAGGAACGCAGAAAAAATCTACATAGAATTCACAATCACTGTGATGATTTTTTTTACTATAAAGTCTGAATATTAATATTAAGAAAGGAAAAGATAGAAAGAAACAACAATACTACTAGATTTCTCACAGTCTACCAGTAATTCCTTTGAGAAAATAAGGTTCCGTTCTCTTTGAAAGGGATGGGGAGCATTAGAAACGCATGTCTATTCTATTATGAAAAATATTAATATTGTGAGAGATTTTTAGACTTAATCCCAACGGTCACGAAAACCGAACTTTACAGACCTCAAACCAACTATTTTTTTTGCAGGCAACGTCATTCATTCATCGGTGATTTTAGGCTTGTCAGACTTTTTATATCTTCCCAACCATGGCATTTTTAAAATAAAAATCCCCCCCTCTCGACATCATCACGTTTGGTAGCTTTCTAGGCCGTGAAGTAACCGGGAATCGGTTTTGCTTTGCCTTCTAATCAGACGCTATTTCCAAAGTCCCTTGTGACGGACAGGTCTTTGATGCGATTTTGATGATAAGCCACAATTGTGTATTGACTTCGTATGCGATCGAAGGTAGAAAGAATGTCGAATAGGCTGAATGGAAAGGAAAAGGAACTGATGAAAAGGAGGGATTAAATTGAAAAAGAAAAAAAAATATAGAAAAATGAGATGCTCTCGAGAGGAAGAAGAAGAGGGGAGAAAAAGGAGGAGAAGAAGAAGAGGAGGGGAGAAAAAGGAGAAGAAGAAGAGGAGGGGAGAAAAAGGAGAAGAAGAAGAGGGGAGAAAAAGGAGAAGAAGAAGAAGAAGAGGGGAGAAAAAGGAGAAGAAGAAGAAGAGGGGAGAAAAAGGAGAAGAAGATGAAGAAGGGGAAGAAAAAGGAGGGGAGAAAAAGGAGAAGAAGAAGAGGGGAGAAAAAGGAGAAGAAGAAGAAGGGAGAAAAAGGCGAAGAAAGAGAAGAAGAGGGGAGAAAAAGGCGAATAAGAAGAAGAAGAGGGGAGAAAAAGGCGAAGAAGAAGAAGAAGAGGGGAGAAAAAAGAGAAGAAGAAGAGGAGGGGAGAAAAAGGAGAAGAAGAAGAGAGGAGAAAAAGGAGAAGAAGAAGAAGAAGAGGGGAGAAAAAGAAGAAGAAGAAGAAGAGGGGAGAAAAAGGAGAAGAAGAAGAGGGGAGAAAAAGGAGAAGAAGAAGAAGAAGAAGAAGAGGGGAGAAAAAGGAGAAGAAGAAAAAGAAGAGGGGAGAAATGGAGAAGAAGAAGAAGAAGAGGGGAGAAAAAGAAGAAGCGGGGAGAAAAAGGAGAAGAAGAAGGGGAGGGGAGAAAAAGGAGAAGAAGAAGAGGGGAGAAAAAGGAGAAGAAGAAGAAGAAGAGGGGAGAAAAAGGCGAAGAAGAAGAGGGGAGAAA